GAAATTAAATTGAATTACTATAATATATGAATTGAAATGCTCATGTATATTATTCCAGCTGTTTTGAGTTACTGTGATTTAGAAACAGATTTTACTTATTGAGTTGTGTTCTACTTTTAGTTGTTCTACATCTTCAAGTATAATTTAATATAATCAAAATGAATATAAGGGATAAAAATATGTATGAAAACGTGATGCACCGAATGAAAGATATTTAATTCATTTTATTTAGGTTTAGTGGTACTTTCAGTTTATTGAGATAGTTTTAGATTAATTGATAATTTTAATTAGCTGTTTTACCATCTATTCCCGCCTCGTTAATTCGAGTCTCCAGGTCAGGTCATGACATTCTGACTAATTTGCAATGATTCTTTTTCACGTCAAAGGTTGTTCAAAACACAAACCCACATTTTAAGATCAAATTTCATTGTCATTTTATCTTCATCGACATGATTAAAGAGAGATCACCAAGACCAACTATAGATGAAAGAGAGTTGTCTTCCGCACACCACCAAGACCACCTATAGATACCATAGAAATGTTGGCGTACAAAATCGTGGTAGTAATATGAATTTGATGTTTATTTGATGGCTTCCTCAACCACTACTTAACAAAATCCTTGCATTGACAATCTGATTTTTCCTTCTTCTTTTTTTCTTTTAGAGTGCATCCCAAACGACTGCTCCTGCTTTGTACTTTCTATTTCATGCCATTGGCCATTTTCTATTTAAGAAATGGAAGCCAACAACAACAACAACATCAAAGCCTTTGTCCCACTACGTGGTCGGATTTAAGAAATGGAAGCCCTGGAAAAAAAAATCGAAGCAATAAATTGACGGTACCCAGGGATCCATGGCGCCGAGATGGAGGCGTGGTCAATGTTCGCCACGTTCCTGCCTTTCCATTCTTATGAAAGAATCGCTCGACCCCGGGAAGCTTCTCCGTCTCCTTCAATAATTTCTCCTCTTCACACGCCATTGGAATCGTCGATGCCTTCTTCAGAGACCGCGTGCAGCTTCCTCACCTCCTTCATGCGCCGCAAGTCCCGTCGAGGCCTTATGCAGTAAAAACCCCTTGCGGCGTCCCACTTCTTTACACACCGCTGGTTCATCGATACCTTCTTCCCAGATCTCATGTGCGGCTTCCCCGCCTCTAGTCGCCGATAGTTCCAGGAATTTGGGGAGAAGCGGGATGCCGAGAAGGTGAGAGGTAATGATCAGTTCGATGAGAGGGTCGGTTCGATTTGAGGGGAAGAGTCGGGCGTACAAGACTTCAGATGTGGGCGACGTGCGATCAAAAAGGGTTCGTGCGGGCTATGTATCTTAAAAATTTACGCATGTTACATCTAATATATATGTCTATTATAATATTATTATTTTAGGAAAATAAAGCTCTTTAATATGAGAAATTATTCTATTCGAATTAGAAGAACCGCCCGGATTGTTATCTATACTCAGTAAATATTCACAAAATATTTAGCAAATAAATACTCATAAAATACTAAGTAATACTCACAATTGAGTATTTGCTGAGTATTTATTGAGTAACTACAAATACGCACTAAACCCAGACGATTCTTGCTGCCTGAACTCCGCACAGAATAATTTCTTCTTTATTATTGGGTAATCCAAGTATTATAATAATATTTCTATAAAATTTATTATATTTTCATTATATTTGTGCCTACATTGTCTTATTTCAAGTCATAATAGGTTATATTGGAGTACTTATATAGTGGATAAAGACCACAAAAGCGAGCTTATAGATAGTAGAATCTCAATAGCATTTTATTTTTTATAGTAGTTTCTTTTTTATTTTTGTAGGGTTTGCATAGTTTTTATTTTAATAGTTATTGTTGTCTTGTAATGCATGATTGTTGTAATCGAAGGTTGGAAACCAAATAAGGTTTTGTACTCAATTAGGGAGGTTGTCATGTAGATTTATCTAGGTGGCTATTTTGATCCTTTAGATCTCGTTTGTTTCAGTTTTTTTTTTTTCTTTTCTATTTAGATTGTCACTGTTTGGATGGGACGCTTCTATAGAAATGATTTTTAGAGAATTTCATTTTTCTCTGCTTTGAGAAGCTTTTTTATATTTGATTCTCAGTTAGAAAACTTCATTCCCTTAACCATTATTTCTAAAACTATCTTTTACAAAAGGAGAGGAAGAACGGAACGAAGCCTTAATCATAGGAATCTAGTAATAGGATTATTTTCTTATTACATTGAATCAATGAGAAACGAAACTAATAACTTTCTTTTTTCCATCACATACAATAATCCTATTCATACAAAACGTTCATTTTCAATCTTAGGGCCATAAAGGAGAAACTCAATGTCATACATCTAAGCACATCTAAATTTACTTTACGCCCACTGTATATGTGGACAAGTTATGCGTATAGTTGATTATATGATGTGAAAAGCAATGCACTTGTCGACCCATTCATTACAAATAGTGTGATATAAATAGCTCATCTCCGTGTTTTAATAGCTCTCGAATTCCTATGATGATTAAAAGATGTACATAGGTGTATTTAGATTGAGATTGATTTATCTAATTTTCAAGAAAGGATGACATAAACATACTCCCCACATTGATTTTTACTGTCATTGTTGCTTAAGTTTGATGCATTCATAAGAGTTTTACTTGAGGGTGTCAATTTTGCGTCACGGGTTGGGTTCTGGTTGAACCCGAAACCGATCCGACACTATTCGGGTCAACTCAAATCCGACCCGTTTTTTACAAACCGGTCAGTTTTTCTGACTCGAACCCGACCCGCTTTGGGTCCGAGTCAACCCGAAACGACACAAATAATGCAGGACGGACAAAAAATTACTAATTTTCGGGTCAAAAAACTGGTCAATCTTCGATTTTCGGATCAAAACCATGTTTTCAGGTCAATTTCGGGTTACTGGGTCAACTTTCTGAACCCAAACGGGTCGATTTTCTGAACCCGAACTCGACCTGTTTCGTGTCCAAATTGACCCTAATCTGAAATTTTCATGTCGGATTCGAGTCGAATTTTCATGTCGTGTCAAATATTAACACCCCTAATTTTACTTTAACTGTATTAGCATCATAGTTTTAATATTTTAGCTCATGCGACTGTGATAACTGATAAATAAGAGCACGCAGCAGAGGGTACAAGTTATTTTCCTAAAAAAGAAGCTGAAAAAAGTACCTCTAAACGCAGAGATTCCTCTCCCTCGACTGAGCTAGAGCACTGAACATGAACCTCAATCATTAATAAGTAGGCAAGGAAGAGAACAAAATTTAAAACTCAGAAAGCCGAACCTGAACATTGAAGTCTGACTTTGAGTGTTGCTCTTGCTGGAACTTCCCATCAAGCATTTGTGCAAGCTGAACATAAGAGTGGTCCAAATTGTTATCTTGTTTCAATTTGTTAAAAGACTCAGGCTTCATTTGGGACAACTTTCTTACTGCTTCTTAAAGTATTTTTTTAGTACAAAAATTAAATTTTTATACTAAAAAACTGCTTTAAGAAACAGTAATAAAGCTGTCCAAAACGAAGCCTAATATGCGATGAACTACCCAAAAGTCACACATAATCTAAACCAGATGCATTCACCTGATTTCGCAACTCTGATATTTCAGTCAATAAAAGACCTCTTTCTCCTTCCTCATAAAAGTCCTGAAACCTATGAGAAATTGGTTTATTAAAACTGCTGATCAGTTCAAAGGATTACAACCAGATCAAGAGCTCCAAAGCTTACTTCCTCAGTTGTTCTAAGAGCCTTATATTTTCTACGGCAAAACGGGTCACTTCAGGATTTATATCAACCTTTGTCCTAAGTAACTTTATTTCTTCAGATAAAGCATTATTCTCCTCAAGTAGATATGATTCTGATGGAATCAGCCCATTCATAAGTGCTTCCATCCTATAAATTTTATCTTCCCGAAACTTGTTCATCATTTTCAAACACTGAGTATCTTCTTCTCTTTCACGAACCTGCCCAAGAAAATGGAGAGCAAACTTTTAGCACCCAAAGTAAATTATTCTTTAAGACATCAAGACTGTCAATATTAAAATAATAATCACCAGGCGGTTGAGCTGCTCGATTTCTGCTTCAAGATGCCTCAGAGCAACTTCGGCCATTTTTTCTCTTCGAAATGAACCAGCTAATGTTGACTCAATTAATTTAAGCTGCCGAAGCAAAAAAAAAACAGTATATTTCAAAGAAAACAAATGGAGAAAAGCAAGAAATTGCTTCTACGGACATAATGTAGGTTTATTTTGGTACAGTTTTCTTATTGCTTTATAAAACAGCTTGTTAGTACAAAATTTTTATTTTTTACTAAAAAACTGTTTTAAAAAGTAATAAAAAAGTTGTCCCAAATGAAGTTGTAATCATCTCAAGCCAAATTTATTGAAAGAAAATAACATCAAGGTTGAGTTGGAAAAGGAGATTTGCATTGGGTCAATTAGTAGCGATGATAATCAAAATGCACAGTACATTGGGTCGGTCAGTAGCACACTAATGTGTTCATTATTTTTTGGCATTTTGAAGAATTTTGTTGTCATTGTATGAACAATATAATATTGATATTGGCTTAGCCATGCATAATGATGATTAATGCTAACGTTAGTATACTGTTGACAATTAAATACACATGATAAAATAAAATACAATTCATAAAATATTGAATATGAATTAAAGCAATATTTTGTTGGTGATGTTTAAGCTTTATGTGATACATATGATCTTATAATTCATTAGGTGATTTTTTTTAATAAAATGAAAGGTAGACATAACAGTTTTTAATCACACATTTTATATTAATTAATTATAAAAATAATATCATATCAATGACATGATTTCCTACTTTTGACGTTTATGCGGTGTCCCCATATTTATTTTGTGACATATATGTGTCAGTACTTGGCACACCGCAACATGCTTGGGATACACGATAATAATAAAATGTATTTCTAATAAGCTAGATAATTAAACAATATTGTTATCGATGATGGTCTAGGTTCTATTGAAGAGGATTGGTGTTGGTGATGATAATGACCATGTCAAATGTGTCAATCACTTAGTGGTATATCAACATTTTTATGTTTGTTTGAATATTGTATACACTTTTCTTTTGGCAGTTTGTGTAGACAATATAGTATTGATATTGGCACAACCATTTATAATAATTAATGTTAATGTTAGTATGTTGTTGATAATTAAGCACACTTCAGAAAATATTGAAATATAATTGTAATTAAACCATTACTTTTTGTTGGTACTTCAGTTTTTTTAATGTAAAACATAGAAAAAATTATATTTTATACAAAATATATAAATGAGGTGCTTTAATTACACACTTTAGATAAATAATTTTAAAAAAATTATGTATGTGGTTCTCTTGTGCATATGCCGCCTGTTGGAGAAAATATAATAAGGAATAATTTCTTGTACGAAACCAAAATTTGGTCTAACTACCACCCTCTCACCCCTACTCATCAACTTCCCACTCAAATATAAACAATCCAATAAAATCATAAGCCATATTTGTTCCTTTCATCAAATTCCAGGCATGGACAAATGTACAAGATAGTTCATTTTATTGGAGTTGGTGCAACATTTGTAAATAGGCATTATTTTAGCAGTATATGTGTGATTCTACATAATAATAAATAGTGCTAATTTCTAATATAAATAATTAACATGCATGATAATTAAGATATGATAATAATCCACTTTTAAAATAATCAGATTCTTCTTAAGAAAAAATGGTACAAATTTTTACTGAAAATAATCGGGAGGAGAAAGCGCAAAAGATACCAACTTGAGTTTGGAAGCAAAGTGATGTGAAATGAAATAGTCTAATGATTTGTTGCCCAAAGGTTTCTAATGACACAAAAGTCGGGTGACTGATATGTGAAAGCAAGAGGAAATTAGGTAATGATTTGCTGACCAAAAATTCCTTTTTTTTTTTTTTTTTGACATTAAGGCTATTTAGGCAAACTCACACACAACATATGCACAAAGACTCTAACCCAAGACCTCTTAGTTGGAAGCCTAAGCTCTCACCCAATATGCCAAGATGAGTTGTGTTGACCAAAGATTTCTAGTGATAAAGTGAAAGAAAAATTAGGTGATGACGTCCATGTCATAGGGGACACATTATGAACTTTAAAATGATGAATTGATAGAGAGCATCAATGAAGAGTATTGATAGAGATTGTTGATGAAAAGGTCCACATAGTAAGAACAAAGTCAACCAAACAATCACTGCTTAAGAATAGAGGAGATTGCAAAAGTTGATAGATTAGTGAGATAAAGAGGATGCAGCCTAGCACCTCAGTGATCGTCGATAATTTGTACAGGTTGGTAGGTGTCAAAAAGGTCAACGTGGTGGCCAGAGGCGGAGTAGTAGTTTGTACAAGTTGCTAAGAGATTTGACAACTCGAGGATGTGAAGAGGCCATGGCGAGTTAGGATTTTAGAGGCAAAGCACACAAGTGCGAGGATCTCGATGTCGTACTTAAGTGCTTATATAGAGCTCACTGGCTTTAGAAGCCAAACCTGACTTATTGCTGGTTTTCAAGGGTGGTCGACTTCACCCCAACAATGCTTCTTCTATGACATGTTGGCTTTTGCTACAAGGAAAGATTTGAGGAAAAGGGAAGCACACTCAATGGAGAGGAGTATGTAGGTCCTGTGAGTGCTGTGTGGGTTTATGGGGTCAGCATTGCAAAGCAAAATGGCTTGCATGTGAAATAGGTGGACTCATTCCACAGCCGTAAAGAGATTATTAGGTGTGGAAACCGGACAGAGAGAGTCATCCGGATTTCTCTCTGCCTACAGTAAAAGCACAATCAAAACACAACTGTTACAGTAACTGCACTTTGACTTCGATTTTACTGATCCGGATGATTCTCTCTGTCCGGTATCCGCACCTAATAATTTGCCCTTGGCATGCTAACAAAATGCTTATGATACCGGCGTTCATGCTGAATCTCTAAGCCTTTTGGCATTTTAATAACCAGTCCTCAAACAACTGTAATAGTAAGCAGCGTTCATATATTACTTCTGTATAGTGTATATGACGGGATAAAATGACGGGATAAACGAAGGCACTTCGCCAATAAAAAGAAACCAAAATTGCAGGAAGTCCAAAAAATACTTCAATCAAGTATGCAATTTACCTGTTTATTTGAAACTCTAACACTCTGCATTTCTTCATTATCGTGCAATTTCTGTGGAGTGTAAGCATCATGCTCAACATTTTCAAGAGTTTTCGTACGGAAGGATAATGATCTCGAGACATTCTGCTGCTTGAGCATGGAGAGCTCCTCCTGATAAATAAGTTAATTTTAAACTTTGGAAAAAAATGCACTTCAAATGGTGAAAACAATAATTTTATCATGTGCTCGGCATAACCTTTAATAAAAGTATTTGATGTTGTAGAGCGAAAACATCACCCGAAGCATTTTCATTCACAACAGCCTAAATTATGCAGCGATTAAGCATAAAAAATGGACCAAGAAACTTTATTCTCAAAAAATATTATAAAAAAAAAGATATCAGGCACTAATTAGAATTACTACATTGTTCTGAATAACTTTTGCACGCTGGGCAAATTTAAGAGTGCTCAACGTTTCATTTGCTGAGCTGCAAAGAAACAAACAAAAATGTTAATAACATTGAGATGCATGCAGAGAACCTACATAATTACATAAATAGAAGAAAAATAACCCTGCATACCAGATAGAAGGACTGACATTTGCAATGATCATTGTTTTTGAATTTCCACCAAGAGAATCCTACATCACATAGATTAGTAAGAAAATGATGAATAAAACCGGAGCTTGCATGGAACTGGATTATAGTCAACTTAAAACTAGTTCTGACTTGAAGAAGAAATGTCAGCCTCGAATCTCTGTAGGGAACATGTCTTTGCCTTCCATTTGCTAAATCAGCTAAAACCATTATTACATGCCTGCAATTCCAACATATTCTTATAGCATCCTAAGATAAGAAAATAAAGTTTTATGCACTATGGAAAAAAAAAAATTAAGCATCCTACATGTTGCATACCCAAGAGTTGATAAGGATTTATTAATGTTTGAAGATTCTTTTAAGCGTTCTCCCTCAGCACCAGATGTTTTTTGCCTGTTTTATGCACAATATTTATCTTACTTGTTGATTCTTTATAAAATAATAAAAAACCCTATTAAGAAAGTACCTTTCAGATCCTGCAAGATCTACAAGGTTCAACCTTGCAAAACGCAATGTACTGGTTGAATCTGTTTGCCACCTGCTCTCAATAGTGCAAGTGAATACACTATGAGAGCGACTGCTTTCACGGTTCATGTTCGTTGCGGCTACTTTCCTATTTGCAGCACCCTGAGCCATGGTTTGGTTGTATTGTAAAACATGTACTACATTAGTTGCCAATATACAACTTGACTAAGAACCAAGCTAAACAGAAGCAAATGGAGTGATAAGTGATTTGAACAAAAAAAATATAATGACTTGCCTGAATAAGTAGCTTCAAAATGTCAACAACGTTTTCAACTTCAAATTCAGTAAGGTTTTCAACATGAACTCCCTTTCGTGGATCTTCTCGAATCTGTCAATGACAATGTAATGCTGTAGAATTGGTATGAATGGAAAAAAGGGAAAGAAAAAGGAAATTGAAAGTTTGAAAAGAATGCAAAGTTGGGCTAATTATTAGGTCCGGACACCGGACCTAAATTTGTGTCCGGATTTGTACGTTTTTTGTGCACTTTTGATGTATTTTTGAAAAAAAAACTGTCATTTTACTGCCCTTTTACTGAGTATTTGAAGAACTCATGAAAAGCGCAAAAAAAAGGCAGTAAATACTTAATGAGTAAGATATTTGATGCGCTTTAGCTACATTTTTGCTTTATTTTGTAAATACTCAACAAAAAAGTAGCTAATATGCAATTAAAATTACGAATTATCGGCTTTTTTGCAAAAATACAACAAAAGCATATGAAAAGCACACAAATCCGGACATAAATTTAGGTCCGGTGTCCGGACCTAATAATTAGCCGCAAAGTTGGCATGTCATTGCTAGAAAAATAAATAAATGAAATGAAGTCATGAGGCATAAAGTGAAATATGTCAGAACCTACAAGCAAGTTAGTGGACGAAGGGTTGAGGAGATCAGTAATTTGTTCATTATAAATCTCCAAAAAGGAACACTTGCAACTGTATTGAAGTTTTTCATCCCTCCTGCTCTCTTCCTCCTATAAATTGAGAAATGACAAAGTTGAAATATATATATTGATAAAAAAGTAGTGATATGGATATTGCATCTTCAGGCATTTCACCGCTTTAATTCGCGCAAACAAGAATTCAAAAATTCGTGGCGTCATTCCACGGTTTGCACTTGGTCTGAGTTCCAAATCATTGATCTCTCCAAGCATTGTATGTGTCTTCCCACTTCCTGTCTATAGCCACAAAAATAGCATCAAAAGCATAGAGTTTTGAGAATCAATTACTACAATTATATATAAAAAGGGCCTTTTTATGTTATCATCGTAAACACTTAAATATTTCAACTGAGTTTTATTCTCAAGATTATGAATTGTACCTGTCCATAGGCAAACACACAGCTGTTATATCCAGACATGCAATTTTCAACCATTGGAAGTCCAGCCACTCGAAATAGCATCTCCTGCAAACAAGTTCCAGTGTTTTACACCAAAGGAGGAGAATAAAGTCCGCTTTACAAACAAATAGTAGAAAACCTGATTGACAGTTTCGCATGCTACATAATCAAACATAAATCGAGTTTCTGATTGTCCGATCCATGAGATATTTTGTGAACTTTCCTGCTTTATGCATCTACTGTAACCATACAGACTTCTCTCCATGTTGTTGATAGGACGAACTCGAATCACTACCTAAGTAGATAAACACATGGAACTTAAGAATAAAAAAAGAGGACACGGCTTTTATTGAAGAAATGAGGCCAAGAAAAACAAATCGTACCTGTACATTGTGATCCATCCAGAAGGAGGGGTCCTCCTTGAGCTCGAAATGAGGCACTTCAGGTGAAGCATAAACTGGTGGAGTTGCAGATGACAATGGTATCCCTTTAGAAGATACCAAAAAATTCATCGCCCTTACAGTTCCTCCACACTGTGTAGCGCGAGAGTTGCTAACCCCATTGAACATGGGCTTAGAAACGCTCTTGGTGGGCGTGCTTTGCGTCGAGCTTGTACCAGAATGGACCGATGAGGCTTTCCCACCAGTTGTAAAGGAGCGCGGAGTAGCAGCACAGTAACCATTCCCAATGTTTAGCGGATGGCTCGCCATTAGCGGTGCTGGGGGTGGCAACTGGAATGGTCCCTGATTGAGCGAATAATCTCTGCTCTCCGGAGAAGTCAATTCTGGCTGTTCGCTCTTGGGGACCCATCCAAACCTGCCCTTACCCACTGCCAATTTTTCCGGCGTGCCTAATTGGAAGAACTGATCCGGCTTTTTCGTGTGGCTCTTAGAAGGGGTTTTTTGGTTCCTCCTCCTAAAATGAGTTTCTTGATCCAATCCCAAGTTACGGTTTCGAAACGGTTCTTGAATTGTGCTAAAAGGAGGTCTTGAGGGATCCGCTTCCTCTTGAGAAGCAGATGAAACGGTCTGATCCGCTGGGAGATTCTCATTGTTTCCGCCGTTGGTAGGGTTCTTCCCGGAGTTTCGTCGGAAGATTTTCAAATCCCTTAACATTCTGAGTAGAAAAAAAAAAGTGAACTTCAAATAGGAAGAAAGTATGAGGATCCACACGATAAATGAAAATCGTAAAGAATGGGATATCGACGTTGAGATATCACCGGTTTCTGTGGAGAGATAGGACTCAGAAGAAGCTTTACCTGAAAGAGCTGTTAAAAAATAGAATCTGAAGTCGAGAAATCCTGAAATATCTCTGTTTCGCTATCAAAAAACTGATCGGCTTCCTAGGGTTTGCGATCCAGGAAACTGATCGGCTTCCTCCTCACTCTCTTCTCTTCTCTAGCTCTGCCCTTGCTTGCTGCGGTGATCATGAATATTTGAGAAGCGTGTAGGTGAATTTGGACGTCCAGCGGAAAACAGAGAATATGAACGGTGCTGATAAGGTGAATGTTTGAAATTTAACGACGTGTGATGACGGCGCGCTGTGAGGGTTCGAATTCCGAGGGTAATTTGGGGAATGAATGTGGAAACTGTCACGTGGCATCAACGGCTAGTCTGGAAATTTTTGAAATGTTGCAACGTTATACTATCTTGTAGATCCCAAATCTAATTTCAATGTAATTATTGAACCACACCAAATTTTCATTAATTGGTTGCATGCTAAGAAGAAAAATCTTAAAATTAAATAATAAGATGTTGACAAATATTTGTATATTGAATGTGATAAAGGATTTTTTTTATGGCATTTTTATTATTTTTTAAAATGGCTTTTTAGTACAAATTTTTTAAAAATTTGTTAAAAAAAATAGTAAGAAAGTCATCCTAAATAAAATCATAATCTATTTATTATTAATTTTTTTCTATCATAAACTAAATGATCATGATTAAATCATAAAATAATCATTACATGTAAGAGTAAGATTACATAGTCAATTATTTATTTTATTTTGAGTGGAGCTATACACACATAGTCAAATCATGCACTTATAAATTTAGATATCCAAAAAAATACTGTGATGAAATTATACATTTATGTGTGACACAATCAATGTCAAAATTTTGATTAAAAGAAAAAGAAAAATATTGGCTGGAATTTTAATATCTTAGATGAAAATTTCACAAATGAAAATAAAAGGATGACGATTTTATAAATAGATAAAATTTGAGCGTTGCATGAAAATTTGCTCTAAAACATTATATTTAAAAAAAAAAAATTGGTTGGTATAGCTTAAAAGAGAGAGAAAAAGTTTAGATTGACTGGCAATAAAGTTAGATTTTTTTTCTTTCAAATTTTAGAAAGCATTTATTGGGTTGTTAATAAGTATCAATAAGCATGTTGATATTGTTGGATAATGGCACGTCATGATTGGCGTGCAGCACCTCATTGTTCTTGCTCCATATGGACCATCCATGTGGCTTAATGAAATAGAATTCCAATCTTGTCAGCTTGTTGTCTCAAGTATAATCATGTTGTAATTAAGGAGCTCAATCTTACGTTTTGATGATTGCAAATGTTATTTGACGTTTATTTTCTTATGTATGTTTTATATATTGTATATTTTGTAGGTACAGCATATATTAAGTAGCATTGAAGAAGTAAAACTCAAAATAATATAGCATCAGTGTATAAGTCAGTCGATGTTTGACACCGTCGTACTTTATATTTTTTGAGTTATATTTTGTATTAGGTATATGTTGACTAAGCAATCGTGTATACACACAAGGGAGCAACATTTAATATTTGAATTTTTATATTAATCATATTGTATAATATGTTCAAATAATAATTGATTAAAATTTTTAATTAAATCAGCTTAAATTAAATTGGGCTATAATTAATCGTACTATACGACAAGCACATTGTACAGGACGATCAAATATTTTGAGAAATCTCATCGTCGAATCATGGTTACTTAAATTAAGACAATTTGAAATTTAAAGCTCATGTTTATAGTCACGATCTATAATTGAAGGCTCTTTTATATAGGCACTCGATTCCTTCTTCACTTAATGCAGGATAATGTAACCTCAATTAAAGTATAATTCTCATTTTGATTGCCACAATGTCAGTAACAATCAATAATTATTGTATAGCACTTTCTTTGCTAGAGGCATTACCCTTATTACTTATACAAGATTCCTAGATATTAGATTATGAGTTTTGCTTTCAATCTTATTTTTTATTATGCATTTATTGTAGATCTTGTCTATTATTCATAATGAAAGTAACATGTAGTAGATGCATTCTCGCCTTAATTTAGTACTGCATGAGCTCTTATTCCTACAATAGATAATTTAGTTCATGTATATCAGTTACACTAAACCTAATTCATGATACTCATGTTGTAAAGCATATTTGTTATAAAAAAAAATGCATATTTGTTATACAATGTATAATTTACATTGTAGCTTATATAATATATGTTGAAACTTATTTGTAAAAGCATAAAAATTGTATGCTTGTATGTAGGCTGCTAGAATCATATTGGATATTGACTTCCTGATGCAGGGTGTTTGACAAACATGATTATAATTATATACATATAAATGTATAAATATATAAGTAGACTTGGGTTGAACATAATGAATGATTGATGGGTCATATAGAGGTATAATGATATATAGTTGATTGTATGTACATAAATTTGATTAGTATTGCAATGTATTTGATTAGAATCAATTAGGTAGAATTTGGGTTGTTATCAATGGTATCCGACTACTTTTCTTTTTTTTTTTTTCAGATCCTAGGATGTAATATTAAGTGGCACTTGTCACATGGAGTTTCAATTTAAATATTAAATTTAATTGATTTGTTTAATTGATCGCGTAGTATAAATGACATATTTTTCTAGTCTTTTTTACTTGCAAGCCAATTTTAATTTAGCTTGGAATTTGATCAAAGGCTCGTGAGGGGATGTTAAAAAATTCTTCTATTTAAACAAATTAAAACTTTTTAACTCACATAGAAACTCTAACGAATTTAAGAAATAAGCTCCAGCTTGCCGAGGGTTTTTCATGCATTCATATTATTACTTCTCTTCCTTGTTAGGCATCTCCCCGCCTGTGGGTTCTGGCAGGCCACCTGACTTATTAAGGTGCAGTCCTGTCAAGGGAAAGTGGTGTAATCTCTATGATAAAATATATTTTTAAGCTTTTTTTAAAAAACTGCTTCATTCTTATTTAAGTATTTATCGAGTCAACTAGCATATATTATATTAGATACAAATTTAAAAGTGTCTAAATCTATAATTGCATTTTTACTTTCAAACTTCATATTACCCAACATTAGTCAAGGGGTCAATTATGATCTGCTCTAGATGTCAGCCCAACTCCTCAAAACTTAATTAAATGTCCCTACCACTCTTGCATAAAAGATTGAATGTATGGATTTTAAGTGCTTAGGTGGTTAGCTTGCTCCCCAATTCAGGCCAGGGTAAGTCCAAATTTACTTTACATTAGCTAGGTTTGGGTTACTGGTTTTTCAGTGCCCAATTTAGATTTAGGTTATGAGACAAGTTCTGACTATAAGACCTCAATCTCCGGGAATACAATCTCAACTTTTTAATAAAATTAACAATTCGAACAAAAATTTCTCCTTAAATCAAAATTTAAGCCCAATGCATAGGGTAGATTAGGGTGTTTTTTAAATTATTTCAAAATCTTAAACACCTCCTACTTCTTTTCCATTGATCTCCAAAATAAGTGTTCAAATTTGATCATATTTCGTTTAAAAATTCAAACGTTTAAAAATTCAAACTTCAATCCTTTAATATCAATCCTTAAGAATTCTAGATAAAATTTATATCATTATTTTAATCGAGAGTATTTGTAGAAAACTTAGGTTTCCTACGATGTTATTAACTATGAGGGCTTGCACTCATATGAGATTTAGAAACCTATATTAAATTTTCAAAACTTCAATTAATTAATTTTGAGAAAATTAAATTTGATGATCATTATTGTCATTTTTAAATAATTGACAACAAATGATATCTTCTTTCTCTGCGAAGATATATTGTTCTATTATCATGACTTTGATTATGAAATTAATGATTCTTATATAGATTATTATAGTCAAACATTCGATCAAATATTATTTTGATCCTTCATGATTATATGCTGCCCTTCCCTGAATTGACTATGATAATTAGGATAAATTGAAAGTTTTGTAAATTTGAACCTATTAGGGAATGATATTTTTGCCTCCCAAGGCAATATATTATTCATAATGAAATGTTCGATTTTAAAACTAAAATTTCAGAAATTAAATTCTCCCAAATAAAATTATTCTTTTCAAAACCCCAACAACCTTTTCAATCTAACATGCACCATTTTCTTTGATTAGTCCTAATGATTTGGATCATATTGTGACGAGATACACCACTACAAACATCTATCATGGCCTTATTAAAAGTCATCTCACTGTCAGAGGACTAAGAAAGCAACCTATGAATCTCTCTCTCTCTCTCTCTCTCTCTCTCTCTCTCTCTCTCTCTCTGATATCTTGTAACTCTTCCCCTCTATTAAGAAAGATTATTATAAAACTATTTTCCTCATATGATGTACAATGATCCTCTTGGCAGGTGATTATATTCTCTCAATCAATCCCATGGTGGTTGTGGTTATTTTATCAATCTATTATAAACCTTATATGTATGCTTCATTTGGAACGGCTTTCTTACTACTTCTTAAAGTAAATTTTTAGTACAAAAATTATAATTTTTATACTAAAAAACTAATTTAAGAAGCAATAAGAAAGTCATTCCAAATGAAGCCTTGGGACTACATTCTTTTTGCTTTCAAAAGTAACTTTCTAGCATAAAAATTCAATGAAAAAAAAAAAAAGACCAAAAGCTGCCCCAAATGAAGCTTCATTCATTCTATATTGTTACATCTTTCTCTTCATCTTCTTATAAATAATAACGGTGTAGTCCTTACCTATTCTTGAACTCTCAATGTTTGATATAAAGTGTGGAGGGCTAAATTTTCTTAACTTCTTATTTGACCAACTTTATATAAAAAAATAAAGTATTAACTTTAAATATCGAACTCACGAA